TGAGGATTGGAGGTTTTTGCTCTTGTCGCCCCAAGGATCGCTGCAATTGGTGCGATCTTTGGCTTTCACTGTTAACCTTCACCTCCTTGGGTCAAGCGAATTCTGCCCACCTCAACCCCTTCTGAGTAGCTGGGATTTAGAGGTGGCCACCCACCACGGCCCAGTAATTTTTGTTATTTTTAGTAGAGATGGTTTATTACCATGTGGCCAGGCTGGTCTCGAACTCGCTGAGCCTCCAGTTGATTCCACCCGCCTCAGCCTCCCAAAGTGGTGGGAATTACAGGCGTGAGTCACCGCCGCCCGGCCCTTGATAAGATGTTTTGAGGAACAAGGTGTGTATTTTCTTGGGTTTAGGAAAGGAGTAAATGTGAGGAAAAAAATTAGTTGGCCTTGTCCATATTTTTTATAACATTTCAGGTTGTGTTATAAACGATAGCGTTAATTATATCGTTTTATACATTGTAAACTGTTTCATTATTGAGCAGATTGATTAGCTAGAAACCAAGCAGCCCTTAGTAATTTTCAGTTTTTTTTTTCACAATTCTGGGATTACAGGCGTGAGCCACCGCGCCCGGCCTCTGATTTTTTATTGTAGTTTTTTTTTCCTCCATGAAATGTTATTAACATTTAATGGGCTTAAATTAATTAATACATAATTTAAACATGTTTTGGTTTTAATTTCTAATACAGTAAATATTGATAGATTATAGCCCACATTAAAAAAAAAGCTCTTTGGGCTCCTCTAATTTTTTAGTGTGTAGAGAGGTTCTAAAACCAAAATTTAAAGGTTTGAGAGCTGTGGTATAGGAGCACAGATGGCAGAGGTACTTCTTCCTGAGAAACAGAATCAGGAGGTGGGAGGAAGCTCGAGTCCTGGGGTAGGCAGCAGGAAGCTCAGCCATCCTTGCCATATGGGTTTCAGCCTCTTCTTGTCAGCAAGAAGGCAGGCTCATTTCTGAGACTGAGGTTACACTGGGTCACAAAGGGGACTGACTCCTAGAGCTTCTCTTGGCTCTTAAATTGTTTTTCTATTGAGCAAAGCAAATTGTTTTTTTACTTCTACCATGCCCTCTGTAAACCCCTCACCGAACTCTTGCTAGCATAAGCCGCCTGAAGGATGAGGCTGGCTGCCATTCTGGGGCAGCCTGTTCAGCCTTTCTGAATTCAGAGAGGCCTTGTTAGGTGGCCGTTGTGCCCAGGCTCAGCTCATGGGGCCTCCCTTTCCTTCTCTGCCTCAGATTCTCCATTGAGGGTGGATAGTTGCAAAAATTATTACTATTTTTTGAGACAGAGTCTCGCTC